TTCGCCGCGAAGCGAAGGTTGGAGACCGGGCGATAGTTGGCCAACTCGTCTGGGTCCAGGGAAGGCTTCTTGAGGAGGGGCCTCACCACGGCCTCCTTTAGGGCCGCCGGGAAGACACCCTCCCGCAGAGAAGCGTTAACAATTCCCTGGAACCAGGCTCGTGTCCCCTCCCGAGCTGCCAGTACCAGCCAGGAGGGACTTTGCACTTCTTCTCTTGGTGGTTCAGGGATCCAAGAGGGGCTTTCCCATCTCCCACCCCCATAACAGGTGCAGGCAATGAGCAATCAGATCTATTGCAGCTGCAAACCTAGGTCAGATGGAAAAGGGAGGTTTGTATTCTTCCACTTTATCTCCTACAGCCCTTGGATCTAGCCTTAACTGTGATCTTTGATCTTCCATCAAAGGACATTTTTAAAATGTTGATTTTGAAATCAAGGAGCTACCAAAAAAAAAAACCCACAACCCTGTCAACACAGGCAGCCCATGCTAATGTATATAAGCAGGGAGAAAACCCCACACCCACGAACACTGGTGGTGTTACCTAATGGGGTAATGAAAGGTCTGCAAGCATATAACCCAGCTCAAAGAATACCAAGGACTCCACAGTTCAATATCTGAGTTTAAAGATATTCTCTTCCAACAGACCCATCTCTCGGCCTCAAGGAGCCACGGGGGACCCGGGGCCTGGGCTAACTGCCGAAGAAAACAACGGACTCCGCGCAAATTTGCCAGGAGGGTAAATTATTCAAACCAGGAAGGGAACGCAGCCAACCAAGGACCTGAACGGAGTAACTCTTCCCTTGCTACGGCTCCTCAGCCCGGCGCATGGAGCACGCAGGCAGGCGGAGAGGGAAGCCAACGTCGGGGATGGGGGTCTGCGGCAGCGCACGGATGGCGGAACCGAGTTGAGGGACTCGGCCTGGTCTTCCCTCCCGTCCTTTGACTTCCCCTCTACCCAGCCTGCACCTCCCGGGCGCAGCAGCGAGAGGGTTAAGCGATCGAAGGGCTGCGGGCGGGGGAGGCGGCCGGCTGTCAGGAAGGAGCATGTGCAGTTTGCATTGCAACCGCATCCACGCTATGGGTCCTCTTCATTGGCACAGCGGCGGCGGCGCAAGAGAGGCTACAAAAGGAACCGCTGCCGGCTCGGATCCATCCATGGAGCAGAGGCGGATGAAACGCTGCTGAGCGGGTCCCAGCCGCGCCGCTGCGGGGAGCAGGCACCTGCGCCGGGCTGCCCTCCCTGCGTCCCGCTGCCCAGCGTCACCCGGGTAGGTGCTTCCGCAGAGGCCTCCTCCTTCCTGCAACGGGTGCGGGTTGCCGATGCTCGCGGGCGGAGGACCAGGGCGACTGCGGTCAGCACGCTCGGGCTTCCCCTTTGACCCGCTGCAACTCGCAGCCCCGGACAATTCCGTGGGGAACCGCGCGAGAGGAAGGGAGCTCAGCCTGTAACAAAGCGAGGAGGTGCTTGGGAGAAGCGGAAGGCAAGCGAGCGCTTTCCCCCGGCTTCCCTTCTTTTGCCGGATCCTGTTCCTTAATCGCTCCTCAACCTCCCATCTTCCTGCCTCAGTTCCCGGCTTCCGATCTGCCACGCCCCCGCCGGCCTGGGAAGGATGCTGAGCTGCTGCATCCTGTCTGGTGGGCTCGGCCTGGAGCGGGCTCGGCCGGAGGCTTTTTGGCGCGCGGGGCTCTCCTTTTGGCCCCGCACGAGCCACGAAGCCCCCGCGCGTCCTCTGCGCTCGGCCGCGTGTATCTGGGGAAGTGGGGAATCTTCTTGCTCGGACGCTGGGTGGCTACTTGGGAACTTCGCATCACGCCTGGGTATTTCTTGCCCCCCCCCTCTCTCTCCTCTAAAAGGGTCTACTTGAACGCGGTACCTCCCAGTTGTCTCGCAGCTTTCCCAGGCGGCGTGGTCACCTCCCTCTACTGGGGTGTATTCTAATTGCTAAATCCTCGGGCTTCCTCAGATTGTCTGCTCCTCTAATTTCCCTGCCATGTATTCGACTTGACCTCCCCAAAGTCTGAAAAGCCCCCAAATAGGGAGGGTGTGCCTTTCAGGTCTCAAGATTGTTATTTCTGATCCTACTTTTCTAAGCCCCAGCGTGATTTAAAAAAAAAGAAGTGTATAACTTTTTTATAACTCTTTATAAAAAGTAAGTATTGGGCACATTAATTTTCATAGTCAGCCCTGTGAGACAGGCTGGTAAGTGGTTATTCCCATTTTATAAATGGGAAGCTGAGGCTAGAAGAGAAGGTAGAAGGTGGCTCTTAAAAGAGAATCTAAGCATTTGTTCTCTCCTAAAACTCACAAGCTTTTTGCAAGCTTTATTCCCTAGGGCATATAGCTCACAGCTCACATGGTGTATGTCTCCCATCTAGTCTGCCCACTTTGGCAGCTAAGTAGCTCCTTGGCTGTCTCCTACCTATAAAGACACATATCCCCCATATAATTCAGTTAGTGATCTCCAGTGTGCCATTGTACTTTTAATGGGTTTTGGTGTCACAGAACATAGAATCTGTTCTCTGAAATCAGTCCTGGTCCTTGCTAATTCCTACAGCTAGGTTTATTAGATTGTACAGAGACATCTATGAGTACTTGCATGTTTAGGAAAAACTCTTCCAACATGATTCCCTCGCCAAAGCGTTGGATTATGCTTGCTACTCCATAACCAGCATGCTCCAGAGATGATATGAATGGTAGTCTCACATATCCTGGGTGCCAGTTATAAGGAGACTGCTGAAGACAGAGCTTTCTGTACATCCAGTGGGTAGAAATTCTTACCCAGGAGGTGAGGGGATATAAATTAAGTGCAGTTGGTGTGGGTATATGGTGCTGTGTAAGATGATAGGCTTATTTTAACCATATGTATTTATGTAATCAGTAACAATATTTATTTATGTAATCAACTGGATCATTGCATTGAATATTGTGTTTAGGGGATGTTAAAATATGCCAGTGCTAAAACTGTGCAAATCATTAAATAATATATGGCAGCCTCTGTAAGCTGTGTTCTTTTTAGCATTAGCATTAGCAGTATTATTTTCATACCATACCAAAAGCCAGGAAGTTTTTCCACATTTACTGTGATCAGTAAAACAAAAGTATATCGTCCTTTTAAATTTTTAAACTGAAAAAATACCTTTGGGGACTAAAGTTGAGTGAAACGGAGAAGTGTTACTTTTCCTGCTTTTCTCAGTTAATTATTTCTAAAGGGGAAAACATCACTCAATGTGTATCAGCATCCCACAGAAAAATGTATTTTATTCTGTGACCAAGAACCTTGGGCTTGAAACCCATTGGACTGTATTGATTGAAACAGCCAGGGTTTTAAAATAATGACGATAATCTCCAGCACTGGGGAATAAACAAAACGTTGGGCGAGAGACTGAATGTCCTTCCAGTTGAAGTAACCTTGCTAACCCTATGAAATTGTTGCATTTTTGTGAAACATTAATTTAATAAATGTCCAATTCCAAGAACAAGTAAACTCAAAAACTTAAATATAGCAAATTACTACAGCATGATAATTTTATTTTCTTCAGAAAATTTTATTTACACAAAAAGAAAAAAGTTAATTAGGCCTTCATATATTTCCTTATTTGAAGCATAATTGATTCTGCTGCTATTTCTCGTGGAGAGAGATATTGCAACTGAACGCCCAACCTTAGGAAATTATTTTAAGCCATATGAGGTTTAAATGGGCATAGGCCACACATATTGAAATCTGTTTGTTATAGCTAGGAGATGCAGAAAAGTATTTTAAAAAATATAATATGAAGTTTGTGGAATACTGGATTAAGTAGTTATTACCATATTGTCTGATTCTGTTCTTTTTCTTTTCATTGTTTGTTTTTTCGCCCATGATTCTAAACAGAACCTGATTGTATTTAGTCACTTACCCAACAGCAATTTTGATCTTATATTGTGGTACACTGTACAGTACTTCTTTGGAAAAACTATTGGCGATCTATGTTGTTTGAAATCTAGAAAAAAATTCCTTAACTTTCGAAATATACATGCCACAAGGCAATATTTTTCTACACTGAAAAAGAAGAAAGTGATACTTATATTGGGTTAATTCCATAGAATCTATTATGTAGTTTTTGCTTTTCACATATTTTAAATAATCAAAGGACTGGTTATTACGTATGACAGAAAAAACAAGTAGAATGGATGGTTTAAAATTTATGTTTGAGATGGGGAATTTGGGAAGAAAATCATTAGACTGCAGTAACTGAGTAGTTGTGTATAAAATACATGTAGGTGCTGATCCAGCCACACTGAAGACTTTTTAGCAGAAAGTATTAAATATATTCTTAGTTTCATTCTGGCTGGAGAGCACCTGCCTTCATTTCTAGGACTAGCTTTAAAATGTTGGACATGGTTTGAACTTTTTAATGTTTACACCCAGAAGTGTCATATTGTTAGTACAAGTCACTTCCTACTAGAAGTACAGATGATGTAATCCTAGAAGTAGGAGGGTTTTATAAGGGCTGAATTTCAGAACTTCGGAAGTCTGTTTATAGACACACAGTAAGTGTATTTTAAAGTAAAAAAAAAAAAAGCCTGTCAGGGATTTTTGTTGTCCTTTATTGACAAAAAACGGATGGAGGAGCAAAGTAATAAAAATTATAGACCTTCTTGAAAACATTGCTAAAAAGCAGTGGATAAATACATAGTAAAACAAACAAAAGGACAAAATATCTGTGATCATAAAGCAAGTCCTCCAATGGAATCTACTGGATTCTATTTCTAATGGAATCCAGTAGCATCAGGCACTTCATTCAATGCAAACTCACAATTTTTCCCTTTGAAAAATAAGGAAACAACTATCCTCCATAAAAGGAAACAGCTTTCAAATTACTATATGGTGTTCGTAAAAAATATGCTACTGATTTGACAGTCAACAAAGTTTCATAGTATACAAACTTGCTGGAGTGGTTTTTAGAAGGGAATCAACTTTTAACATTTCCGTTTTAAGAGTCAGCATATCAGCAATTTTAATTTCTAGCCAAATGCAAACTTTCTCTCCTTTTGCTGCTAAGCTGCTCATTCAAATCAAGAAAAGGAATTTGGTGAATAAAATACTGTATAGGAGTGCATAAATTCTTATTTCGTTGTGTCAAATATTATATCTGGAAAACCATACAGGGTTCCAACTAGTGCATGGGAAGCATTTGTATTTACATCTCACCTGATAGGTACAGCTTTAAATCTTCCAAATCTTAGAAACTAAAACTTGGTACAACTTCTTCTTTTCTTGCTCATGTTTTACATAATTCTTCCCAGCCTGTCCTTTACTATCTGTTTAGGTTGAACTATGGATTTGAACTGTGACTTTGGCCCCCAGTCACTGGGAATTTTCCATACTGTAATGAACAGGGCTTTTTAAATTAGAAAACTGTAGCTTAACTCTGATATTTTACCCAGAAGGGTTTTCATAAACGTAAGTGTAAATTATTGGTGCCAGTTTCAGGTTCCAGAAAAGTTTTGATAAAAAAACCTCTTCCCGCTGGTTTTTCAATTTTTTTTTCTTCTTTAAGAAAATGTTGGACTGTAGCTTCTGTCATAGAAGGTTCTAGATTGGGAAAAGCTGGTTAAAAAGATAGGGCATAACAATGAACCCAGCCACTACCTTTGCCTATCTGTATCAAAAATGGGAAGATGAATAATAGCTGATGGGATTAGAACAGTGCTTTTTGTCCATTTCTGGCTGATGGAGGCACTCCCAACCATTGGTCATCCTGTCTCCTGCGTAATAGTTGGATATAGTAGTGCTGTGCTTGTGGTTCTTCAGAGTTGACTAATAACACAAAACTGTTCAGTCACCAGTACTGTAAGTGCTTCCCTCTATGTCCTAGAACAGGGGTAGGCAACCTTGGCTCTTTTATGACTCGTGGACTTTAACTCCCAGAATTCCTGAGCCAGCCATGCTGGCTCAGGAAATCTGGGAGTTGAAGTCCACGAGTCATAAAAGAGCCAAGGTTGCCTACCCCTGTCCTAGAACAAGGGTGAACTGGAGTAACAAGCTGAAATGATGCAATACTAAAGGACTAATCTTCTTGTCTTCTCCTCCCTATGTTTCCTTCTGAAACATCATAGTAGAATCTGGAAGCTGACATTGTTACTTATACAGAAGAAAAGGAAAGGAATCCCAGATAAAAATACTGCTTATAATTCAGCTCCTTTTGTGATTCAATCTATCCCTCCCGCCTTGACTGTTGAGTTGTATTACAATGGGGTATAGGAAGAGTGGGAGAAGAACAGGAA